TGGTGGGGCTCTGAAGAAAAGAAACCAAAAGAAACTAAAGTTTAGATGTTTGGGTATTAAGAACACAAGCTTACTCTCGCGAAACTGTTGCAGAGCACGATCCAAGGCACTGTTGAGCGACCTCTCGTCGATTCCTTCGAAAACAAACCTGTGAATTCCCCAGTGTAAGCGACATCAAGCATTGAAAAGACTTACCCATTGGCGTCAATCGCTTTCGAATGCTCCACGTCGAAAACAGTATCCGCCAAGCCACCCGTCTTTCGGACAACAGGAATCTGCAACAAAGAAAAAAGAAAAAGAAAAACAAAGAGTCAGTGCTTTGGTTTCGCTTCACTTTGTGTTTTTTTACCGCTCCATATCGCATCCCAATCATCTGAGTCAAGCCACAAGGCTCAAACATGGATGGCACCAGTACGATATCCGCTGCTGCATATAGCAAATGCGCTAACTCCTCACTACAAAGCAAACAGCTTTGTCACAAATCTACAACCAACTCTCACCAATTTTCGCTTCACCTGTATGTCAGCAGCAATCGCACCTTCTTACTATCCCCGAACTGCAAAAATGTAAAAGTTAGAGTAACGACGCTAGATGTAAAAGCACACACCTTTGTAGCGTGGTGCTCGAATTCTCCCTTCACACGAGGATCGCGTGACGTGCCTAGAAGCACGAATTGGCCATCCTGTAAACATTGTGACGTCGTAAGATACAAACTTAAACCGGATCTTACCATTTGATCTACGTGATACATGGCATGCCGTATGAGATGAATCCCTTTCTGAGCCACCAATCTCGTGATGCACACGATCAAAGGCGAACGCTTGCATTCTTGGTATGTCTTCCTTTGAGTGGGCAACTCGTCCGGTTCAAGCCCAAGACCTCTCTGTAGATACTGCTTACAAGCTTGTTTTCCCATTAAATCCGTTGCTGAAGAAACTAGGACGTCAATACATTGAAGTGTAAAGAAACTCGTCACCTGAAAATCCCACGGGCAGGTAAGGATCTGTCTCCGGATTCCATAGCTCTGTGTCGATCCCGTTCAGGATTCCAAAATATCTGTACAAAGAATTAAAGTTTGCGATGTGTTGCTCTGTAGGTTTTACCAGGTCGAGTACAATTACTTGGAACGGTGCTTCATCAAAGTGCTTGACAGCCATCCCGAGCAAAGCGTCTCATTGACATAAGACGGTGACACAGTTCTGCCATTAGCCGAGCAGTTAAGATTGCCGACAAGCTAAAGAAAACTTACGTTACAGCATTGCTGTACACAATCCCTCCCTTGAGCAAGCTGAGCCTCTCAGGATTGTGTCCGATTGTTCGATCATCGACAGCCTGCAATAGAAAATAAGAATCAATAAAACGGTCTAAACAACACAAGATACTTCTACTTTATCAGATGTGCGATAAGTTGAACCTTCTAGACCGCACATGTTGAGCTGTTCCATCCTGACCAGTATCAAAGCGTAAGTAAATGAAACAAACTGAAGGGATCGCACCTGCATTCTCCGTAATGCTCCATGTTGTGAATAGTAAGCACAAGTCTTGGTTTCTGCCGTAAAGTCGAGTGTCAAATCTATCCGAGCGATCATGAGCTATTACCTTCAAGGACAAGTGATGATACATATCCCAGTAAAGCATCGATACAGCTCCAGTATGCCACTCATGAGCGTGGATGATATCCGGGTGATTGTTTGTCACCTGCGAACAAACAACTTGAAAAAAGAAGGAAAAAACGAAAACGATCAAAAAATGCACGGCAAACCTGCATCCACTCCAGGCAAGCACGGCTGAAAAACAAATACGCTTCGAGTTCGTCGTAAGATCCACCATAGATACTCGACCCCTTGAAAAACTGGTTCTTCGGCTGGACAAGTAAGACCGACGCTCCAGCGATCTTGCCTCGGTAAACTTGAACCGAGATCCAGTTCCCCTTGTGATAAGACGAGTAGGATTCACCAGGACTGAAGCCTTTGATCTGTTCACCTGGTATGCACTCGTAGAAAGGAATCATGATCTCCACTTTGTGTCCCCTGTCAATGCATGCCCGGCTCAAACCAGTAACCACGTCCCCCAAACCTCCAACCTTTGCTAGAGGCACCATCTCCGCCGTGACATGGATGATATAGAGTGGATTTCGATCGTTTTCTACGTCCTTTGTCGAGCCAAGCCCTGCTACTTCATGCCTCAGTCGACCTCGCTTCCAAAACGGTATCTCATCGCTCGGGGACGGCCAGACGATACTCGGTAGTCGATCGATTTCTCCCAGTTTTTGCGATGGCTCCGGCTTCAACACTGGTACGTTCTAAACAAAAGCAAACAAGTGTTAACCGCGCAACGAAAGCACTCTAAAAGTTTGCGATACCATCGTGATGCTCTTTAGAAGTTGCTTTGGAGTTGGCTGCTGCTCCATGCTCTCTTCCACGCGAGATCTCGTGCTTGGAACCAAACCCTCCAGCTCCGCAATGCGTGCCTTGAGCCTCTCGACGGTGGCGGTAAGGCGCTGGATCTTCTCCTCGGCCGACTCGAGATCCACATTGGAAGAAGCGAAATAGTGGTCATACTTGCTGGATTTCCTCCTGGAGCTGCCGATGAAACTCACCCTCACCCGCAAAGGCAGTCCTCGAGCGCCGATATTGCCAGCACTGATCTCGCGGCCACAGAGAATCTGCCCCAGCGGCAAAACACTCGCCATTCTCGCCGATTCCTCTCACGCGATCGCGCGAGTCACAGCTGTGGCGTCCATCGCGACGATTTCTTACCTCGCGGATGCCGCATTGTCGATCGCGGAAAGAACAAGTTCTAGGTCAAAAAGGGGGAAGGGGGAATAAATTTGGGCGTAGGGATTAGGGCAAGATAGCGCGATCGCGATGAGGGGAATTTTCTTCTGGTGCTCGATGTGCTGCCTCTGCCTGTGCTATCTCTGCTGCCGGCCTAGGCGCCGGCGAGCAACGCGATCGGAGCTCCTCTACTGAGAACAATCGCTCGATCGATCGATCGATCGAGGAGCTAGGGCAAGGGGATTGGTCTCTACTAGGCAGTGAAATAAAGGATGAAGAATGTAGCGGGGGCGACTTAGCTTAGATTGGATGGAGTAGGTCTAGCGAGATCAAATTTCGCGTTTGATTGATTGATAGGGGCACCTGATCAGTGGTGGTGGAAAGATGGGGTGAAAAAAGAATGATATTTTTTCTAAAAGCCTTCCACGTACTGCTGCTACTAGCCTGTGTGCTCTGTCCATGCCATTTATCACAAAGAAAGCATTGGTTATTGTCTTCTCTCTCTCTCTCTCTCTCACTCTCACTCGTCTTAAGTACTACGTAGATTCCAGGGAGGAAGAAAAAAGACCATGAAGAAGAAGAAGGAATAAAGGGGGGGAGGAAGGAGGAGGAGATATACTACACACGCACGCACGCACGCCCAGATCAATCAGAGAAGAAGGAAGAACGCCACCACCACTACCAAGGCGTAAGAAAAGATCAAGCGATAAAAATCATGGAGGAAGTCAAAATTTTCCACTTTCCTCTCTCTTTTTTTTTCCTTCCAATCGATAACACTTGATCAGCCACCACCGACAGTTCTTTTTACGCTAAACAAATCCAGGAAACGCGAAGAGGAGGAAAATCTCGCAACGGAAAAACACGGCGCGGCTGAAGAACACGAGGACAAAAGTTTGGGATTTTGCTTGGACTGTCTTAGAAAAAAAGAGAGGAAAAAAAATAAAAATTCCACAGCTACTTAGAACTGCTAGAACACTTCGAGCAAACAGCGATGATATCCCAGAAAAAATCCAAGAGATAAAAACGAATGAATGAATCAACGACGATCTGGAACAAGGCGACGAAGAACAACGAAGAAAAAAAAAAAGCGAAGAAAGAATAGAATCGCAGTGGAGCTTGGCCTAACCTTTGATCGATCTCGATCTCGTGTCAATGGAGTCTTTGCAGTGATCTTCATCTTCTCCCTAGTTGGCGATGGAGCTCACAAAAAGCCTTCGATGAGAACACCCGGAGCTCTGTGAGGCTCGCTCTTGCGACGTCGCCCATCCCTCTTGGCGGCAGCGGCAGCAGCGGTGGGAGCTTTGATGGCGCTGGCGGGCTCCGAGAGAATTTTTCCCCCATCCGGCTCGCCTATCATCTCCGACGATCCTTGAATCGCTGGGAGCTTGGCTCGCTTCAATGCCTCTTGCTCGGCGGCGATGGAGGCGCTCTTGTATTCCTGCTGATCCTCCTCCTCCTCCTCCTTGACGACGATCTTGCGAGGCCGGCCTCGCTTTTTCTGTGCCGGTGGATCTGCGCTGCCGCTGCTGGATGGCTCCGCCGCGTCCACTTTTTTGGCTTTCTTCCTCGCTGGAGGCATCTCTGTCAATCCAGAAACAATGAGAGAGAGCTCGTTAGCAATTCGAATGCGCGCAACGCAAGAACCCTATGGGAAGAACCACCAAGAGAGGAATCCAATCGAGGAAAAAGCAGGCAAGCAAGCAATAGGGACATTTTTTTTGGTGCTTCTCCTTTCTTTCTTTCTTTTTTTTCCTCCATACCTCGTACGAATGTTCTTCCCTGCAATCCCGAGCGATGATTCTCGATCCCGCTCACTCGGATCCCGCCGATGGGAGAAAAGCTCGGCAGCTGCGATTCAAGCCGCCGCGATTTGGATTTGGATTCCTTCTTCGCATTGACTGGAAAAGCTCGAGATCAGCATCGCATCGCGCAAAGGCGTGTAACGAGGAAAGCGTAGAGAGAAAAAAAATGGAGAAAAGCGAGAGCAAGATATGAGAAAACAATGAAAACCATCGCAAGGAAACAAGATAGAGTAGCTCCGGTGGTGGCTGATTTGCCTCGGTAGGCAGCTGTCAGGTTCGGCCCAGCTTCGGTAGAAAAGCAAACTCTGCTTCGGCAAGTTTTAATTAGGTTTGGGCAATATAGGGTTTAACAAGTATATGCTTTAACACAGACAGAATGTTCTGAATCTTTTATGTGGAGTGCATATTCCGTTCCTTTTTAGGCGTTGACTAAACCTTACATTAGATTTACATGGTTTGGCAGTTTTATATGAGCATTAGATTTACATGGTTTTGGAGATTAGATCATCCTCGTCTATGATAGTCGAATTTGGTTGGACGTTGCGGTAAATAGTCTATCCATTCCGATGGTACTTTGGTGTTGAGGACTATGTTCTTGAAGACCCGGTAGCTGGGCGGTAGCTCTCTGCTATCCATGACATTCGGTTCCTATGAAATTCCAGGACAAAGGAATAAGAACGCAATGGTCGAATTGATCGTCGATCTCCCTCACCTTTGGAGCCTTGTCCAGCTTCATCTCCACGTCCTCTAGTAATCTGCTTCCCTTCTTGCCATTGCAGCGCTTACACGCTGTTACCTGCGAGATGAGAGAAAACTTTGATCATCGAGAGAAGCTTTTTAATCGAATGGGCTTTTACCAGATTGTCCCAGCTATGGCTGCCGCCTTTGGAAACCGGAAGGACATGATCGATTGTCAAGTCTCTGTCGTGGTCGCAGTACCTATGAATGCCAAGCGGCTGGTTTAAGTTAGCGACAGCCTTGAAATCTCTTTTTTTCCATGGATCTTACTGGCATTTGAATTTGTCTCGGATGAAAACGTTGGTTCTACTCAAGCTCAGCCGTAAGGTCTTGGGCTTCGGCGAGTATACGAAATCGACCATCTGTGGAAACAAACTTGGAGCTTAACAAGTGCGAAGAAATTCCATGTATTCGTACCTTTAAAACGGCAGGAATGAAGAACACTCTGCTCGGAGAACAAACAAGTTGATCGTAGTAAACGAGGACTTCCGCCTAGGAAGCTATGGATATATCAAACCAAATTTTATGATAAGGCTAACCTTCTCAAGGATCTCAAGGCATAATGCGCGCTTCCATCCCACAATGTTAATCGGTCTACATTATCCCAAAATATCTGTCAGTGTCATTCCAATGCGAAGATTTCTAGACGAACAAGTTACCTGTAGGAGAGATCGAGAACAAGCCCCTTGAATTTCTTGAGATCATCGGCCTGATCACACGAATCGTCATCGTCCAGAGCCATCCAGCTCGCCTCTTCCGCTGCTTCTTGGGCCGCCGCCACGGCCGCCGCTGCCATTCCCTCCAACGAGCTCTCCTTGGCTGCTGCATTTGGATGAGAGCTCCCATCCCCCTTGGATTTCTTGTGCGGAGCTCCGCCTTTGCCCTGAATCCTGTATTTGAACGAAGATTGGCCCGGCGGCGCGTGGCGCTTCACCGAGAAAACGAAAACCCTATCGCTCCCATGGGAGAAGAATGATCGCTCGAGGATCATCTGGCTAGGCATTCTTCCCCAAAGAAAGAAGGAAGAACACGAAGAAGAGAAGAAAAGAATAACCCCGTCAGCATATGCCTTTTGCCCTACACGTGGCGGTAAAACCAGCTTTTTACGTGGCATGCGCTGATTGTGCCACGTGTGAAGGAGCACATTAGGGTTCTTGAGGCTAGATGGTGGGTCAGGTGCGTGTAGATCAATCCGGGAGGGAGAATGCGGCCGCTACTAACAGATCGTGCTTCCAGATCGCGAAAGTTATCGCGAATTTGATCGTGATTGGGTCGGGGATTTTGCTGCGCGCGGTGTCTCAAGCGTACAAGCAAGCGCTGATCAGTGAGTTTTTAGCTGTCTCCGCGATTTTTTCTTTAAAAAACGATTGTGGAGCCTTTCACTTGGATGCTGTGTTGTAGATGCATCCAAAACGGGCGTGGCTCAGGAGACGCTCCAAGATATCGCCGAGAAATCGACCAAGAAAATGTCGCTGCACGAAGCCAGGATGATTTTGGGCGTCAGCGAGAAAACTCCGTGGGAAGAAATCTTGAAGGTGACACGATTTTTTCTTGGGTTAGATCATCAACTCTTAGACAACGCTGGCATTTTCGCAGAAGTATGAGAACTTATTTGAGAGGAACGCGAAGATCGGGAGCTTCTACATTCAATCCAAGGTCCAAAGAGCCAAGGAACGATTGGAAGCCGAGAAGAACAACAAAGGGCAGTAAACAAAAAAGAACTCCTCTCTCACTGACTTGACTCTCCCGGGGCCTTTGACTTTTCACGTTGACTGTTTGATCGCCGCGACACAGCACCTCTTCCGGAAGAGAACCTCCTGGAGCTCCTCGGACAGGACGAGGGGCGAGTTGGGCGGGCGGTGGTGATCTTCGTCACCGCCGCCGATCATTTCCAGGAGCTCCACCTGGAGCTGGAGGAACTTGACGTAGCGGATCGCCTCCCCGAGCATGCTCGCCGTGTCCATCTTGCTTCCGCCGGGGATGAGCTTCTCCAGCCACCGGACGCGCTCGCTGATCCTCTTTCTCCTGCGCCTCGCTGCCACGCTCTGTGGATCGATCGAGCTCCATGGCTCCCTCTGCTGCTGCTGCCTTGAGGATCTCTGGCATGATCTTTTCTTCTCGGCTGGATGTAGATCGCTCTCCTGATCCAGTTCTTCCTCTTGTTCTTCTTCTTCTTCCTTGTTCTTTCTCTTGAATCCCTGATCGTGATCATCCCACTCCCGAGCTTCAATCCGCGACGTCTTTAGCAGCTTCTTTGGTGGCTCATCGTAACTGGTCCCATTTCCAAGCGCGGCTTCCAGATCTTCGTTCCCAGACGAGCGAGGATTCTGATCACTGCCAAACCATGAGCTTGGACAAGCCGATGATCCGCCGAGAGAGTGAAAAATCTGGGGCTGCGGCGCTACCGGCGCCATTATCTGATCGAAATCGCAGCAGTCTTCGACAACGCTTCCCGACGAGCTGGTAGTGACATCGTCCAGGAATCCGGCAAAGCGTATCGGCTCGTTCTTGAGAAATCGCGCTTCCGGGATGTCTGCTTCCAGATCGGGCAGTGCCTCGCATCTTAGAAGAATCTCATCGGCCAGCGGACTTTGCATCGCCCAGCTCAATCCCTGGCGCCTGTCCGCTGGATGGAAATCAAAATCTACGCCATGGCAGTCCACCAGTGGATTCGCGTAGAACACATCCCCCGCCTGCGATTCTTCCACGATTTCCAGCGGCGGCCAGCTTGAGGGATGGAGGATTGGATCGGACTTGACAAAGATCGGGACGAACGACGGCTCTGTGGTAGACCAATGCGCGAGGTGCTTTACCTGAAAGCTATCCAGGGCGGCCGCTGGGATCATCCCCTGGATCATCCCTGGCGCCAGAAGAAGCTCGTCGCCTCTGAAACATTGAATCACATTGTCCTCCATCGATCGATCGATCGTCGATTTCCCAGGCGCACGAGCCCAGCGCTTCCAATTCCCTGCTCTATCCCTGGACGAACAAGAAACATGACAGCCGTCGGATCCCAAGCCGATCCAACGGCTTGCACGAGCTACGCGTTAGCGGCCGTCTGATTGGCATGATCATTCCCGGCACGATTTTTAAAAATCAACGATTGTAACAAACAAGATCCCCTGACAATAAATCGCCCTATAAAAATCCAAGGGCTGTCCTCTGCCCACCTCAGCATGGCAGATCATTTCCAAAGCACGCACGTAAAAACGGACGCTCGGGGCCGGATTACTTACCGTTAAAAAATCGCTACGGTTTGGTTTGGCTAATCGTATTTAGCGTGACGGTGAGGCGCCGATCTGGGGATCCAGACGGCGAGAGTTCGAGCCAGTATCTCTCCAAAGAGTACGTATCGTACATCCTGTGCGCTACGGACGCGGCTTGGATGTGTGCCGGCAGTGTGCCGGCTCGAATCGCGGCGTCTCTCGATGACCATACACACATCGCAAGGCATTCCCTCTGTGCGTTTAATCGACCATACCAGTACTGCGAAAGAAAGAAATCTCCATCAATTTTGTGCTAGAAATCTCTGGATCTAGAGAAGTTTGATTACCCTGAGAAGGCCTCCAGATTCTAGAGCTTCCGCTTGTGCGGCGGCATCGAGCTTATAGAGCAGCGTATCGTCTGCCGTGGCTTTCCTCACGGATCTAAAGGCGACGAGGTAGAATTTGATCGATTTCTCGAGAGGAAACTTACAAATAACGCTGAAATCGAAGCATTCCAGGAGAGGGGCGGTGAGAGGATTGGAGTAGGCCGAGGGAGTTGGATTTAGATCGCGGAACAAGACAGTGAGCATCTGGTCGGATTCTTCCAGCATTTTCACGAGCGAAATGGCCGAAATTTCTTTGGACAAAGTTTAGATGCCCTGGGTTTTTAAAGGAATTTCTAGAGGGATGTGCAATGCACTTGGTCGGTGTAGTGGAACTGGACTGGATGCTCCGAATAGACCTGGTGCGCGAATTTTTGCGTGAAAGCATCAAGAACCTGTAGTTTCACATTAAAGGGGTAAAGAGGGTAATAAGGTTTAACAAGATTAGGGTTTATGAAAGCACATTAAAGGGGCAAAAAATAATACTTTCTTTTAGGTTTACTAAGATTTAGGGTTTATGGCTACATTCTCGCGAACAAGACGCCTCCTCCTCCTCCTCCTCCGCCGCCATGGCGCTGCCGATCGATCTCCCTCCGCCGCGCGGTACGTCTCCTCCACAGCTCCGCGCGGCTGCGGTGCCAATCCAAAATCCGCGCCCGTGTCGCCCCGCGCGGCGAGCCGCTACGGCAGGCCCGGCGACGACGGCTACGTGGACGCCGTGGTGAATCTCCTCGAGAGCAATCGTCCAGGGCCAGAGATGGAATCGGAGCTGGGCGTCCTCCTCTCGTCCAAGCCTGCGGGCTACAAGCTCACGCCCACCACGGTAGGGAGAGTTTTAAACGAGTTAAGGGACGCTGATGCGGCGCTCTTTTTCTTTAGGTGGGCGTCGCGGCAGCACGGCTTCCACCACGTAACTTACTCGTGGAATTGCCTCCTCCACGCCATGGTGCGCGATAGCAAGCACTTCGAGGCCTACGCGATCTTCAAGGCCGAGTTCCTGGCGCAGTGTAGCCCCGATTCTTTCACGTACTCGACGCTGGTGGCTGGTTTTTGCAACGCCAAGGAGATCGACCAGGCGCTGGTTCTCGTCAAGGAGATGATGGACAGTGGCATCGCAGCGCACGTCCGAGCTCACAACAATTTGCTCCTGGCGCTGTTCCGAGCCGGGAGAGTGAGCGAGGGGGTGGAGCATTTTCGAGAGATGGCCAAGACGTGTGCTCCGAATAAGTTCACGTATGGGACAGTGATCGATGGCTTGAGCAAGGCGCAGAGAATGGAGGAGGCGCTGGATTGTTTGAAGGAGATGCATACGACGGGGTTGATGCCGGACGTTGTCAACTGCAACATCGTTCTAAATGGTCTCTGCAAGGCCAGGAAGATCGACAAGGCGATCGAGCTCTTCCTGGAGATGCCTTCGATGGGATGCGAGCCGACCATCGTGAGCTACAACACGGTTATCAGCGGCCTGGCTTCGATCGATAAGATGGACGAGGCTTACAAGTTCTTCAACAGTATGATAGACAATGGCTGCGAGCCCGACGTGATCGCCTTCACGACTCTCATCCACGGGTTTTGCAAGGCCGGGCAGCCTCAAGTCGGGCACAAGCTGCTCAACCAGGCTCTCAAGCGCTTCCGGCCCGACGTCTTCCTCTACACGTCAGTGATTCATGGCTACTGCAAAGCTGGCGACCTGGATACGGGGTTTAAGATCTTGGAGGAGATGCTGGCGGCCGGATGCATTCCCGATGCTGCTGCCTACTTCGTCCTGATCGATCCGCTGTGCAAGCTGGGCAGAGTCGACGAGGCTTACGAGCTCTTCGAGAGGATGCGTAAGTCAGGCTGCCTTGGCGACTATGTAACGTTCATGACTCTCATCGAGGCTCTCTCCAACCACGGGAAGCTGGACGAAGCCTGCGAGCTCTACCGCGAGATGATCGAGCGTGGCTACGAGCCGTACCTCGAGGTCCAAGACTCCCTCATCTTTGCTCTGTGCAAGGCCGGGAAAGTGGACGAGGCCAACGAGATCTATCAAACGGTGGTGGCCAAGAAAGTTGCGACCAGTCGAGTGGCTTACAACAGTCTCATGGATGGCTACTGCAAGCTGGGGAGAGTGGACGATGGTCTCAAGCTGCTGCTCCAGATGGTGGAGTGTGACAACTTCCCGGACATCCAGACTTACAACATCCTCGTCGCTGGATTCTCGAGAGCAAACCGGCTGGACGATGCCTTGGAGCTGTTCAAGCTGCTCAGCTCTTATGGCTGCAAGCCCAACGCTGCGACTTACACGACGATCATCCAGGGGCTCTACGACGCACAGAGGATGGAGGAGGCCAAGGCATTCTTTGACGAAGCGTGCGAGAAAGGATTCGTGCAGCCGCTAGAGACTGCCGAGGCTACCGAGAAGAGTAAAGACGCTACAACAGAGGACTGAAGTGGTGAAAGAAATGCTACTGGGTGATGGGTTTTAGCAGCCCTAAAGGGATTTCTTTCTTCCATGGAGGCGGAGGCGCCAGGCTTGCCGCTAGGATCCACTACCACCGTTCGCTACAGCCAGCATTTCGAAAAGGCAAGCGATTTGAAGCTACTAGAGGTTGATGAAAGCGTCGTGCAAGAGCTTCTTCAATCCAGGTACACAGATCTTTCTCTCTGTTTTCTTCGTCGCTGGAAGTTCACTCTATCTTTCTCTGTTCTTGCCCTTGGTTTTTACAGGCTGAGCATAAAAGGAGGTGTGGAGGAGGAGGCGGTTCTTTGCACTTCCAGGACGACATACGCTCTAAAGTTCGTCTCGACTTCCAACACAATGCTGCTGGTTCCTCCAGGAGAAGCTGGCGATGGTGGAAGTGGCGGCGCTCTTGACGTGATTGCCACGGCGGGAGGACATATGGAGCTTGTGGAGATAGCTCCCAGAATAGATCAACTCAAGGTACTCGTCGGTTCTAGGCCTTACACGGAAGACAGCGAGAACGAGACCGTAGATGGTCTTTACTCGTGGGAAGATTTGCTGGACAGCGTCCAGGCAAGCGAAGAGCAGCTCAAGGATGGGCTTAGAGCTCTTGCTGCAGCGGAAATAGGTGGTTTTTGGAGGACTGTGGATCCGAAGTACACGAAGGGACTGCTAGAGATGATCCTGGTGACTGCCATCCAACAGGACTGGAGTTTGAGCTTGCTGCCGCTGGAAGAATTGGTGGCTGTGCTCGAGGGCGATGGATACCCGGCTCAGCTAGTCCGGCACTGCGTAGCAACTTTTGGTGTGGAGGAGCCATCGTCCTCTTCGTGGAAGCTGGACGAGAAACGGATCTGTTTGCACTACGCGAGGGAGCTCTTGTCGAGCACAGGGAGATGGAAGACGAACGAGTTCCTTGAAGCGTGGCAAAGAGCACTGCCGCCGGGAATGAAAGAAGAGCTGGAAATGCTCCGGGGTGAGGCGCTGGTTACCAGGCTTGGGTCCGACTCGTGGCTGCACCGCTTTAGCTCGTCCTCTCTGCCTACGCAACCGGATGCTCGATTTGCAGCCTTGTTCAAGGAAAGATCGAAGTGGGAGTGGAACGATCTCGAGCCTTACTTGAGGTAACTTGTGTGCTTTGTTGTTTGCTTGTCGAGCTTGACTTTTGTGTTTCAGGGACGTGAGGATCCCAGGACAAACTGTGGAGTCGATGCTGCTGAAGTATACAAGGAAGATACAGCCCTCTGCCGATGCTCGACCCATCTACACTCCACGATAGACCATGAGTTCATCGCAAAACTTCGATCCAGGATTTCCAAGCAGATGGTGAGGATGAAGCACAGCTTGGTGCTGGAGTCGACGCTAGAGTTTCCATCGCAGCTCGCGGAGTTTTAACAAGTCCAGCTCTCACTGCAGGAGCATCTACCATCTTCGAAGACATGGAACCGGCTGGAGTAGTCTCGACAGATGATCTTCCGCTGCTCAACCTTGGACAGCATCGCAGCGACTCTGTGGCACTCTCTACAAATCCAGAAGTCGCTCACCACCCGCAAACTCGCCCCAGGCGGCGTGCTCAAGACCCCGCGAGCGATGGCGAGATTGCCACTGTGACCGCACAGCACAGCCTCCCCGTCAAGACTGCTCCTTTCGCGTCCTCCAGCCGAGACTTTGTCCAGCACCAGTTCTAGCTCGTCACTGGACTCCCCAGCGACGAAAGTATGCACGAAGCCAGTGGCCGGATCAGTCCACCAGCTCTTCCCGGAATGCCTGGACGATCCTGGAGCTGTAGCACCGGCTCGAATGGCTTGGACCAGCTTCGCACTCTCGGCATGCATCCCGGCGACGGCGTAGACATTGCTCATCATCGAGTAAGCTGCCATGTTTCTCTCATCGAGGCCGAGAATGGACTGAAACGCGAGCTTTCCAATCTCCACGTCTTTACTGGCTCGAAGAACAGCCATCCAGATCCGCAAGTCCGGCTCGAACGGCATCGTCAAAACCATTGTCACTGCTTCGTCCAACCGGTTGGCCCGGCCGAGGAGATCCACCATGCAAGTGTAGTGCTTGATGCTGGGAGCGATGCCATACTTCGGAAGCATGGCGTGGAAGTAGTCCTCTCCCTTCTCGACGAGCCCGGCGTGGATGCAAGCGTTGAGGATGGAGAGGAACGTCACAGCGTCGGGTTTGAGCCGGGCCTCTCGCTCCATCTTCTCGAGCAAGGAGAAAACTTGGTCGCAGCGTCCCTGCCAACTATATCCTGCTATCAGCGCGTCCCAAGCAACGAGATCTTTGCTCGCAGCGATGGAGTCGTCGAAGACTCGCTGAGCGTCCTCCATGCTTCCACACTTGCCGTAGAAGTCTACCAGCGAAGTCGCCACGAGTGGATCTCCCTGGAGCCTGGCGCTGTGGATCTGTGCCTCGATCTTCCTTCCAGCGTCGAGAGCTGCGAGGCTTCCACAGGCCTTGAGCGCCGCGAGGAAGGTGGCACGGTTTGGAGCGCAGCGTTCGCGTTGCATCCGCGAGAAGAGCTCCAGAGCCAGCTGAGGATCACCGCTGTGAGCGTAGCCGTGAATGATCGCGCTCCACGACACCACCGTTGGTCGAGCCAAGCTATCGAAGACTTTGCGAGCGTCCACCACGGCTCCACACTTCCCATACGCATCCACCAGCGCGTTGAGCAAGGCCGTGTCCAAGCTCTCCAGAGTCTTCGCTGCTCGAGAGTGGAGCTCTCGGATCCTCTCGAGGCACTTGATCTTCACGAATCGCCCGTCGAGCTGTTTGCCTTCCTCGGTGGAAGCCAAGTTTGCGGCGGCCTTGAGCGCTGCTAGAAACGTGACGCGATTCGGAGCACAGTGTTCTTCGTCTTGCATGCGCTGGAAGAGCTCGAGAGCTATCTCCGGCTCGTCGTTCTCGGCGTATCCAAGGATTATGGCGCTCCAAGACACCACCGATCGACGTAGCATCTTGTCGAAAACTCTCCGTGCCTCCATCAAGTCCCCGCATTTCCCATACATGTCCACCAGCGTGTTTGATAGCGAAGGATCGTTCTCCACACTGTTCTTCATCGCTTGCGAGTGGATTCTTCTCCCCTTGCGAAGATAAAGTGCTCGATTCTTCCTTCTCTCGTCGCTCGATCCCAGCGCCGCGCAGGCCTTGAGAGCAGCGATGAAAGTCACGCGATTTGGGTCGCAGCCTTGCTCTTGCATCTCCAGGAAGATCTCGAGAGCTATCTCTCCTTGCCCGTCCTGTGTGAATCCCAGGATCAATGCTGTCCAGGTCACTACTGTGTGCTGCTCCATCCCCTCGAAGATCCGGAGAGCATCGCTCATCCTCCCACATTTGCAGTACATGTCGATCAGAGTGTTGGCCACGAAAATGCCGGATTCGTCACCGCTTTGGACAAGCTGCGCGTGAATTCTCCTGCCCGATTCGATATCCCTGGAGCTGCTGCATACCTTGAGCGCTTGCAAGGCGACGGGAGCGCTCGGGCGCAATCCCTCTCTCCGCATTCTCTCGTATGGCGTCGTCGATCCCTTGCTGATCGACGACGCCATAGCCGCATTCGATCATTCAGGCGATTCCACTAGAGCGAAGAGCACAAAGAATTAGGGTTCTTGAGTGTCACGAGGAACCCTAAATTTTAAAAATGCGGGATTTAGGGTTCTAGCTAAGAGGGATGTTCTTGTGGAGAGCGGCGATCCAGAGGCGCTGGATCTATCGTTCCGCCTGCAAGCTCCCCAATGCCGACGCCAGGCAGGTCGAGTCGCTGCTCTGCATTCTCGAGAGCGCCAAGTCAGGTGAGAATGTGAGCGAATTGCTGGGCAACAATCATCGCAAGCTCTCCCACGACACCTTCAGCGATGTCCTTCGCAGGCTGGAGCGCACCGATCACGCCAAGCCCTTCTTCGACTGGGCCGCGACCAGGAAAGGATTCACGCACACGCGATTCACGTACAACGCTCTCCTTCTCGCCATGGTTCGCGGCCGCCGCGTCAAGGAAGCGATGGAGATCTTCAAGGAGAAGATGGAGAATCCCGACGCCTACACGTACAACACGCTGATCCGCGGCTTCTGCCTTGAGAAGAAATTCCCCGAGGTCTTTGCCTTGCTCAAAGAGATGGAGGGGCGCTCCATCGCCAAGAACGCTGTGACTCACGGGATCATCCTCAAGGCGCTGTGTGACAGCGATCAAGTGGATGACGCTCTTAGCTACTTCCGCGCAGTCACTCCAAAAGCGAGCCTGGATGTGATCTCTTACACCACCGTGATCAAGGGGCTGGCGGACTCCAAGAGGATCGACGAGGCCTGCGAGCTCTTCGAGGAGCTCAAGACCGCGGGCTGTTCTCCAAACGTGGTGGCCTACACCGCAGTGATCGATGGACTCCTCAAAGCTGGCAGGATCGAAGATGGTCTCAAGAACTTTGAGGAGATGAGTGGATCGTCGTGCGTCCCGACGAGAACAACGTACACGGTTGTCATCGATGGGCTTTGCAAGGCACAGATGCTCCCCGACGCTTGCAAAGTTTTCGAGCAGATGGTCCAGAAAGGCTGCGTCCCGGACACCATCACCTACACGACTTTGATCGATGGCTTTTCCAAGGCCAGCAAGATGGACGAGGCTCGGAAGCTACTCGACGTGATGCTCACCAAGGGACCCGAGCCGACGGCTGTGACGTATGGATCGATCGTGCATGGGTTTTGCAAGCTCGACATGATCAACGAAGCCAAGGAGGTGATCGCGCAAATGCGAGAGAGGGGGTGTGAGCCGGGGCTCTTCATCTTCACCTCGCTACTCAGCTATTACTTGTCGAAGGGAAGGGCCGAAGAAGCGTACCAAGTCTTGACGGAGATGACAGCCAGAGGGTGTGCACCGGATGTTATCCTCTACACCAGTCTCATCGACTTGCTCTTCAGCACCGGCAGAGTTCCGGAGGCCCGGCACGTCTTTGACAGCATGATCGAGAAAGGCTGCGCTCCCGACGCTCTCACGTACGGGACTATCATCCAGAACTTCTCGAAGATTGGAAACGTGGAGGCCGCGGGCGAGATCTTGGAGCTCATGGCTAAGTCGGGTGTCGGCCCCGACTGCTTTGCTTACAACTCGCTCATGGACGGCTACGTCAAGCTAGAGAGGGTCGATCAGGCCTTTGGTGTTTACGACAGGATGGTCGCGAGTGGGATCAAGCCCAACGCCGTGACTTTCAACGTTTTGATGCACGGGCTCTTCAAAGATGGCAAGACCGATCGCGCTTTCTCCTTGTTCAAGGAGATGCTGGAGAAAGAGGAGGTTCCTCCAACGCTGGTGAGCTACACCATTTTGATCGATGGTCTCGGGAAGGCAGGCCGGGTGAGCGAGGCCTTCTTGCAGTTCCAGGAGATGATCGACAGGGGTATCATTCCGGAGTGCCACACTTATACCTCTCTCATCTACTCTCTGGCGAAAGCTGGGAGGATCCCAGAGGCGAAGAAGCTTGTGGAGGATATGGTGAAGCTGGGAGTGAATCCCGACGTCCAGGCTTACAGCGCTCTCATCACGGGTCTCATCGATTCTTCCATGGTCGACACGGCCTGGGATGTTTTCCAGGAGATGATGAAGAGAGGCTGTGCTCCAAACGAAGTCACGTACAAAGTTCTAAGGAGGGGGTTTCGGGCAGCTGGGAGAGCGCTGGATCTCGAGGCAGTGAAGCAGCATTTTTCGCAAGGGGTGGCTATGGAAGCTGGAAGCTGAGAAAACTTGGCAAATGTTTTTGAGGTTTTAGCGATGAGAAAGTAGCACGGTGGTGTACAGGGACTTTCGAGAATGAAGCACGCTCGGGAGATTCTCTTGTTAAAGTCGAAGACAAACGAAATCAACTGCAAATTTGGCGATTGTTTCGTGTGATTCATCCGATCTAACATTGATGGTCGCGAGAAAAATGGCATAGGCATTTGCCTTTTGCCCTTTAGGTGTTTAAATGTTAGGCTGGACGTGTCCGAGCTCGTCTCCTAAATCCAGAGGAGCAAACGTCGTGTGGCTGATCCTATAAGCGTGTTTTTTGTCAAGACATTAGATTAAAGTTTAGTTAACAAAACACTTTTACTTACTAAACATTCTTAGTATCTTTAAGAAAAGACAAGCACAAACTTAATGTATATAACTAAATATCTAACGTAATCTTTAAAAGAACTACTAACTGTGGCATTTGTTGAACAAGAATATATTTAATATAGTTGTACATTAGTTTTTTCACGTATAGAAAGATAAAGATAGAAACTGAGTTTATATCTAACTTTTGGTCATTTATAATTTTTTTTCTGAGTTTCTATCATAGGTTTTCTTGATCTTATGTTTATATCTCTTGAATAAATAAGCTAAGATAAATTAATAATAGTGTCCAATATATATTTCCTATTAAAAACTAGAACAAGATATTTAATTGTATGAACTAAAAATATTTAGTATCTATTGGCTTATAGTATTTAAAAAAAAAGATAAATTTAACATTCAAATTTTTATCCTTCTTTTTACCGCCAAATGCTGTTGGGCAAGTTATTAAACCCTCATATTGCCCTAAAATGTTTTTTTTTAATAACTACACTATTTCTTACATCAGGAAATAGTGAAAAAGGTAAAACTTTGAGATAAAACCTCTTCCTACTTAGAGTTTCATCAACATAAAGTCATATAGTGGAATTTATAGTGTCATAATGGATGTAGGCAAGCAAAATCATTTTGTTTTATTGAAGGGTCTTCAATAACTTCACACTGAGCTCTTTTCTTCTACCAAGCACTATATAAGTCTATTATTGAGTATATTTAGTAGTTCAAGCAACACTGAAAGCTATGCCTCACCCAAATCCCAAACCTCACAAAGTAGATTGTGGTTGCTGCCTTTGTCCAAGGATTGAAGGTACCCATCCAACGCAAACATCAAGTGTAAAAATATCAAGTGTTGTCTAGCTTTTGAGTATATGAAGGAGGTTGAGAAGGAATTTTGCCTCGTCTTTTAGGTTGCTTAATATAAATCTAGCCACCTCTTGAAGCATCCAATCACAATGATTTTTTGCTAACTTACTCCTAAAGTTGTGGAAAAGAGAATACCATCAATGTTGGAATCTATCATTACAGAATTTCACTAATACAAAGACCTCCTTGAGTGTCAACAACAAGCTCTTTTGCAACGGCACCAACAAAAAATTATCATTCTTCAAGAGCTTAAAATGGTAAGACTTCAATAAATATAGATAATATCAAAACAACTTTGTTAATAGAGTACCCATTGCAAGGCAAACACACACTCAATAAAACAGCATTATTGCCTCCATCCAGAACTTTAACCTCTTAGGAGCCAATGTGTTCAGGAGCCAACATGTCTAAAAGCATCCACTTACTAATAACTCCACACTTTAACCACCTCTAGATGGATATTAATAGCAACTCTAACAATGCACAATCTAAGCCACTCCATCAATGAGCAAGGAAAAGGAACTTGCTTGTAAGATATAAATCCTTAAATCCCAAACTTGGGCTGAAAGAGTGTTATGTGGTAATGGCCAAGGGGGAAGTTTAACAAGTGTAACATGTTTGGACTAAAAATTCCTACTCGGAAAGTTGATGTGTTGGTTCCGTCCCTTTCTAGAAATTTTCTTATTGATCATTTTGTGTTCGTTCTTCGAGCACTCTTTTGGGAGTTCCACTCTCACTTATAACACATCATAAGTGTTGTGACACATAAAAGTGTTGGGACCAAGCTTGAGTAAAAGTCCGAGAAGGAGTCTAAGAAAGAGTCCAAGATGAAGTCTAAGAAGAAGTCTAAGATAGAGTTCAAAATAAAGGCTAAGACCAAAACCAAGACTAAAACAAAGTTTGGGTCCAAGTCTAATTTGGATTCCGAGTTTAAATCCAAGTCCAAGGGTGAAATCTTAAAGTGATCGTCTCCCAAAACCTAGGAAGTTTGGTGAGTCTCTATGGGATAATAGAAAGAGGATTCCAATGGAACTAATTTGGCTAGGAAAGGCTAGTGTGACTAAGGAAAACTACATTTACGTGGTGGGTGATGATATAACCATTGAGTTGAAGGCTAAATTGAATATAAATGGATAAATGGGGTAGCATGGTGAAATATTCAAAAGCCAACTCTAACTCCCTAGGAAATTAAATAGTCAATGCTCCCAATCCAAATATGGGTGGCACTACTTACTTAGATACTTTATGGGGCTCATTGGAACCTCACGCTAACCATATAGTTGGGGCACCCTAGTGGCAAAAGATGGGGGACGTACCTATGAAGTTTGTGTTGGGCCACGATGTTTTGAAATGTCATTCTAAAGTCTTAGACCATAAAAAGGAAGAAGAATGGTTCTTTTATTTAAGGACTAAAGGCATAGTTATATAGTGAGGAAGTACTAAAAGTTAGTGGGACTTAGTGGATAGGCCTTTAGAACCTATACCAATGGTGATGTTGGTGAGCACTACTAAAGATGGAAAGGGACTTTATGGGGATTGAAGAAGGGGTATTAAGGAATGGTGTTCCCCATATCTATTGCTAAAAATAGCATCCACATTGTTTCTACACCCAGTGCTTTCTGGCAATGATGGAGTGTCGAGGAGCTCAAGGAAGATAAAAGCCCAATTTAGTTGGAAAAGCAGTCCACTTGGGTACAGAAGTAGGCTTAAGCTTTGAAATAAGAGTAAAAATCTTCTCCATCAAAAAACAACTATGAGCATTGTAGAGCTTATTGGTGGTGATTTTGTCATTAATTTGCATCATCCCCTTCTTCCAGTATGTCTCAATGTTGGCTTGGAGGTGCCATATGCATCCCAAGATGATAAGATTGGTGAGGGAGTGTAAATTCACTTGCTGAAATTCCACCACCATGAAATCCACTAGTGATGAGACCCCTTGGGTTGATAGTAGCATATGCCCAAGTGTCGATGGATGTGATGCCAGATTTAGCATCCACATTGTTTCTACACCCAATGCTACTATTGAACTATCCACAACCATCTACTCTAATGCTATACAATCCCCATCACAATCAGAATTTGCTTCAATATAAGCTTCAACCACAATTTTAGAGATATGTCAAATACCCATGGTGAGAAAACTTGATTAGACTGTTTTGCCATGGGCACTTCCAACGATTCAAGAGGGATTTAGGAGGCTCTTATCCAGCCACATGCCAATCTTATGCAGCTCTTCTCCTTGCTCCATTCCACAGCTCATGGCAGCAAAAAGTGGTGATCTTTCCTACCGGTAGTGACCAACTTCTCAACCTCTTTATTTGAGGACCAAGCTTCATAGGAGTTCACAGCCTTCTCAACAACAGCAGGTGAAATTTTAGCCAAGCTTGGAGTTAGGGACAACATGAAAGTAGTGATTGAGAGTGATTACATTGTTGGTGTTTCAGTAGTCATGGCCATAACTTTCAGTGATCAAAAGACTTTGGGAAACTCAAAGACACTAGCCTCCACACTCATGGCAGAATCTCCTTCAACCACACAAATTGAACAACATGGATCACACAATTCCTAACAAGTGGCCCGTTGAGGAGATTCTAACTTTCTAGAGTCCTTTATTTGGACCTCATATCCACCATGTTTACTAACTTCACCTTTCTAAGACACACTCACAAATCCATGTACTTTATCATGGATCCCCACAAGCTTGATGGACAACACTCTTATCACCACTCAATCTACTATCTTAGCTCTAAATCTTTTTCCTCACTAGCAAAGAGCCTCACTCAAGGATCTAAGCTACTCACAACACCATTTGGATATGGCACATGCTAGCTATGGAGCACAATGTGGCACATCCCTCAAAGTTATGGCAACATAACTCCAACCTATTTTTCAACTTTTGCCACACTTAGGAGTCTTTTTATGACTTCTACAACACTCAAAGGAGCCTTCTTCAGTCTGCAGCAGCTCCACATCACCTTGGAGTCACCATTCAATCGCTTTAACATGGCATCACATAGTCATACAGCTTTAGGTTTCTTCATTTCATCTCCAATTCTCACTATGGTGTCCTTAAGTATAGGGCCTTCACAAACACCATTCTCATCATGGAGATTCAATTCAACCACCGTCACAGTAACTTTCCCATGCATTGACACTTTGTTCTCCCACTAGACTTCTACAAACACTCAAGGTGACTTTCTCCTCTTCAGAAGCACTAACATTCCACATCCAAGAGCAGCCAGCACAACCAGACATCATGCTCAAAGTCTTATATTGATGTCTCTTGCAATCCTGGACTCTCTTGACATCACAAGCTTTAGATCATTATGCCTGACTTCAGCTTGACTTTTTGTGGAATCTAGGGCATTCTCCAGGATTCCCTTTGTCCTCTAGAGGCAAACTTCCTCATGAACACACTTAGGAAAAACTTAATTCACTACCATCTTCACTTGTGGTGAAATCTCTCCTCTCTTTGGTTTTACAGTTTTTTTTTCTTTACTTCTTTTTTTTCACTTGTTTTTCCATCTTTCTAGGCAACCTTCTCTTATAGATGCAAGCTCAAACTTGGATTCTAGCTTTGGGGTGGCCTTAACTCCACTTTTCCAAGATTTCATTCATTTCCCAGATTTTTCCCTTTGTTCTTAGGTTCTATCCCTATCACTTTTAGTAGCACATCCTCCTCTTCATTCCCATCGACTTACATTTATTCCCTTTTACAACCATTGCATTTCATCTTCACAAATACCTTATCTCTATTTTTCATCCTTTCCACACCATACACATATGGTACTTGGGATCTTTCAACATCACTCTATCAAGCAAACTTTCAACAATACAATACAATAAAAATTTAACTTCTTGAATGTCAAAAATTTATCCTAAGTTGCAGCACGCTCTATATAAAATCCCGATAGAATATTGGC